GACGCTGGAATTGTCAACTAGTTGTTGGACAATCATTGGGTCACAGCTAAAATCTTTAGAGCTTTGGGGTACCTGGGTGGCTTAGCTGTTAAGCATCTGCCTTCGGCTCAGGTCATGATCCAAGGGTCCTGGGATTGAGCCCCACATCGGGCTCCCTGCTTGGCGGGAAGCCTGCTTCTCCCTCTCCCACTCTGCCTGCTTGTGTTCCCTCTCTCGCTGTCTCTCTCTCTCTGTCAAATAAATAAATAAAATCTTTAAAAATAAAAAAAAAATAAAATCTTTAGAGCTTTGCAAAGGACTTGACAACTCTGTCATTGCATTAATGTTCTACAAGAAGCATAAAGGCCTTAAATTAAAAATGATTTTTAAAATTTGATTTTTTTCCCTAAGGTAATATATACATAAGTAGGGTTGCCATATAAAATAATGGATGCCTGGTTAAATTTGAAATTTAGATAATCAACAAATTAGTGTTTAGTTATAAGAATGTCCCAAGTATCGCACAGGATATGCTTATACTAAAAAATTAATTCATTTATCCAAAATACAAATTTATTTGAATTTTTCTGTATCCTGTATTTTTATTTGCTAAATGTGGCAATGTTATATTGATAGAAAATTTAAAAAACCCAAAAGACGGGGCGCCTGGGTGGCTGAGTTGATTAAGTGTCTGCCTTCAGCTGAGGTCATGATCCCAGGGTCCTGGGATCAAGCCCTGCATCGGGCTCCCCACTCAGTGAGGACCATGCTTCTCCCTGTCCCTCTGTTTGCTGCTCCCCCTACTTGTGTTCTCTCTCTGTCAAATAAATAAATAAAATCGGGCGCCTGGGTGGCTCAGTTGGTTAAGCGACTGCCTTCGGCTCAGGTCATGATCCTGGAGTCCCGGGATCGAGTCCCGCATCGGGCTCCCTGCTCAGCGGGGAGTCTGCTTCTCCCTCTGACCCTCCTCCCTCTCATGCTCTCTGTCTCTCATTCTCTCTCTCGCAAATAAATAAAATCTTTAAAAAAAAAAAAATTTAAAAAAAAAATAAATAAATAAAATCTTTAAAAAAATAAAAATTAAAAAACCCAAAAGAAATGCAGTGCAAAATGTTTCTCTTAGTGTCCCATAGCCCTCCACATCCTACTATTAGTGTCTTTGGAAAGCTTGCAGAAACAGTCTGTGCTTTTATAAACATGTACATATTAATTTTATTTACGCAAGTATTTCCGTTCCCTTTTATACAGATACTAACAACTTAATACATTGTCTTACAGTCTTTTTTTTTTCATTCAACAATGTATGTCCACCATATGATTTTTGCAGTACAATATGGAAAGCATGGTGTGTGACAGAGTGAGTGTGGGCTTTGAATTCAGGCCACGTTGGATTCAACTCTATGCTCTGCTTATGAGCTATATGACCTTGAGTAAGACCTGAGTCTCTCCCTTCCTCTGTTGTTCTCTGGAGGATGGAGAGAACAATATGCGAGGCAGTGGAGGATCCCGTGGAGAGCGTGAAGATCAGGGTCCCTGCTGCCGGGATGTCATGTGTGCAGCCTGCCCTTGTCCAGCACTCAGGGCTTCATCGGCACTGAGGTCACGGAGCCACTCAGGGTGTGCGTCCTGTAGTTGTGAGCGTCACGGCTGCTGTAACAGCTTCAGCTATACCCACATAGTGGCAGTAACCACACGGGCTCGTGTACAGTGGCTCTATTTTTGAGTCTATTTGAATACGCCTATTTCCATTGTGTTGAAATATAACAGCCATGTTTTTTAATGTACTTTGAATATTAATATAAGGAGGCTTATCTTTCTTGGAGATTTTTCTTAAAATCTTGGGTTTCAAAGGTGATTTATTTAAACATATATGAACTTTATATAAATGGTGACTTACTGATCTTTCTTCGATGTACCTACCCATTGTTTCTAAAATACTTAGTTTTGAGTTGTTCGTACCTTTGTATGGATTGTTGGTTGTGTTAAGTTGTCTACACCAGTCCATTCAGACTTCGTGCACATTGGGTCTGTTTCTTCCTCTGGTTTCTCCTTGTGTAGGGCAAAGTCAACACAGTTTTGAACTTGGAAAGAGGAAGGAGAATGGTAAGGTGAATCTTCCTCCTGTTGAGAGGCAGCATATTGTAGAAGTTAAATTGTTAATTGGCTCTGGAGCCAAACTGCCTGGTCCACATCTGGCGCCATCATATACTGGTGGTATGACCTCAGCAAGTTGTGTACTCTTTCATTGCCTCAGTTAACTTGTTTGTAAAGTGAATATTAAAGGCCTTAGTTGGATAATATGTTTTGAGTGGTGCCCAGGATGTGGTAGCTGTTGAATGTTTGCTGTTGTCACCCTTGCTTCTGCCCTGGCATTACTGCTGCTACTTGTCCACATCTCATTTCCTCTCTTTACTGCCCTTCTGACTCACCATCTTTACTGCTAGCCTGAATTGTCCAGAAGAGCCCTGAGAACTTGGCATTTCTTAGACATGTATTGGATTTTCTTTACATCTGACCTATTGGCCATGACCCACTGTTGTCACCCAGGTACCCTTCTGTTTCCACACGGTGTTGAGGGGGGTGAAGAGGGAAGGTTGATGGTGGGGTGAGAAGGAGAACTCATGCAGTTTGATGCATGTGGATTCTATCCCTCCATATCAAAACATCTGTGGTTACAAATGAGTATCTTTATACTTAGAGCTGAATCCTTGGGATGGGGTATAGGGCATGAAAAAGAACAGTTTTTTTTTTTTTTTTTTTTTTTAACCTCTTGTCTCTTTGTCATGGCTACTAATTGTAAAATCTGGAAAGCCTCAAAAAAGCCACATGTACTTATTTTAATGGACATCAGAGCAGAGAAGAGAAACTGTGAAACTCATTTTTTTTTAAATCTCTGAAATCCAGAGGAATGGAGCTCTCATGTGGGAGCTAATTAATGTCTGACTCGCAGTTGAATGGACCTTTTTTTTCTGGAAAAAAAAAAAGACCAAAACCTTTATGATAAGAGTTTCTCTGGGGAAAAGAAAAGTAATTCTCTTTCCACATAACCGACTTGTAGGTGAACTTTGGGATGACAATATTTTTCTCAGTGGGGAACTGCTTACTCTGTACTTTCTCTGCAGACTCCTCATAAATCAGTGGGTCTCTAAATCCATAGGCTACCTCCCCCTCCAGGTCATGAATATTGCTTGTCTTTCCAAGTTAATTTTTCAAAAGGGGGAGAAGGTAGAGCTGACTTTATTGTACCTAGCAAGCACTGATTTGTATAGTTTTACCCTTCTAAAACTTTGAATGTCATTCATTTGTGGTTAGAGTTTTCTAGTTTAGGAGAGACAGACAGTGACTTCACAGGGCATTGCGGCTAATAAAGGGGCCAGCTGAAATATTCCTTCAGGTGATCAGACTCCCTAAGTTTTATGTTCTTCCATTGCTAGCATTCTTCCTGCTGGGCATATATCAGTTACAGATCGTCCTTTTATTGGGGTATCTTTACTTTTATTTGTTAACTGTCAGAAGTTAGTAATTTTTTGAGGGGGACCTAATAGTATACTATCTTATGAAGTGTCCTTGTCAATAAGAATAAAAATATGACTAGTTTATTTTAAAGATCTCCCTGTATTTTTCCCCATGAAACCATGCAATGCCTGACATTGAAATGCACATCTGTATGGGCTCAGTGTTAATTCTGAATATATATTTTACAGTGTGAGTTATACTACGATCTGGAAATTCGTATACTCTTTCTCATTTATTGCAATATACTCAATGAGTAAGTTTTCTAGGAAACTAAGGTTCAGATGGTATGGCCCTTTGCCCATACCTACACTGTTATTTAGGTTTCAATTCCAAGTTAGAGCTGGTGCCCTTTTCTTGACACCAGGGCATTTTATAAAACAAGTGCCAGTAATAGAGTTGTTTGACTATTTCAAATGGAGTTGATGTTTTAAATAGTGTATTCTAAATCAGGATAAGGAAAGTCAACAACAACTGTTCTCTGTTATTACACAGAGCTAATCATAGGCATTGATGGATAGTCAGTGCATCTACTCATATACATCACGATTTCCTTTTGTCCCAGATGCATTTTCTGTTAAAGAGACAACAAGGGGAACTGCTCCTTCTCAGACAAATCCTATTTTGTCTTTCAAAAGTGAGGAGATTGGGTGTGACCTTTTTCCCCGCCACTGAAGCAATGACTGAGGTTTTTCTGCAAGGCAAAGGATGGGTGTGACTAGGGAGAGGATATATAAATTGTTGGACAGCAGAGATTAAGTATGGTTAGTGATTTGGACACTGTCATTGGAAATCTGTAGCTGGTACTTTAAAGAGTCTGGATAAGTATTGTCAGAGAAAGATGAGTCCGTGTGAGTCGAAGGAGTTGAGAAGGTTTATTTTGAATGAGGGAGAAGAGAATATTATAGTCAGGAGGGTATTTTGAAAACCTTTGAAAACTCTTCCTTCATTTAACATTATGTTTTTATTCAGTTTTTCATCCTTGATTTAATGTATTAGTTCCCCGTGGTTCACATCCTGCACGAGTGTCATAGCTCGTTTCTAATTGGTATGTGTGTATGGTCTCCCCAGTTAGGACTGTGAGCAGTCAAGGGCAGGATCACATCTTCTGCTTTTTACGTTTCAATGTTTTTGCCCACTGAATTTCTCATGCACAGTCAAGTAAGTTCCTTACTCTGTGGGTGAGAATCTGTACGTGAATCTGAGATTATAGTGGTCTGTGTTGAGAAGTTCTTAAAGAAGTATTTCGGATACATCTGCCATCTTATTTAAAACAGATCGTATGCTTTTTACTTTACTATGCAAGTATTACTTGCAAATATAAGATAATTTTGAGTAAGTCCTAAAATGATTCCTTTTTTTTTGCATATTAAAAAAACTATTTTAAGTTAAATCAACAAGATTTTAATGGTCAAAGGAATTATGGTAGCATCAAGTACTTTTTAGAGTATATAGTTTTAATGTTGTGATAAAACATAACCATTCCACTTTATTTCTTTTCTTCCCAGAGTTCTGTTTTAGTTGCTGTTTAAAATCATTGTAGTGAAGAACACTGAACTTCGGAAAAAAATGTTAGAAACTATAGGTAAGACCTATTCCTTCTTATTTTTCTAAGAATCAAAACTTTTCCCATTGGGATCTTTGAAATGGTTTTTCTACATAGCAGGATTTCGTCTGGTAGCTTAGTTTTTAGAAGTTTTTATCCATTAGCATTATAGCAGGGAAATGTGTTTCTATATTTGGATGACTTAATCTGAAGTATTACAAAAACAAACCATTTGTAAGCACAAGATAAAGACATATGAAATGTTCTACCAATTATGAGTTTTAATGAAGTTTAATGTAAACCTTATTCTAATTTATGGACCCACTTCTGGTTAATGGGTGTTTGTGGACAGCACCAGAAAGGTTAACAGTATTTTTAATACTGAAAGAAGCTCATTGCCTTCTTTATTTGTGGCAGTTGAAATACTACTGAACTTTGCTTTTAAGTTGATGATGAGCCATAACAATAATAAACATTTAGGCTGACAAACTTCAGTGATGATTTAAGGCAGTTTGATTTTACATGAGATAATGTAGGTTGAAGTACCCAAATTCACATGTTAATCTTTTTCCCCTGCTCTTTAGTTTTAGAGGAGCTGGTTTATAGAACTAGTTCCAGGCATATCAGTACACCCATCCCTCTCCTGGTGGCCTAATGCCTCACGTTTTCCCTGGAAGTTTTGGGTATGACTACTGGAAGGTATCTGGATTTCACCTTGGTGCCTTGATGATTGTGGCTGGTGCCTTGATACCTGCGTGCTTTGGGAAGCAGGATGAGAGTAGGTGGAAGGAAAAGGAAAAGGAGCTGTTTTTGTGATGGTGGGGATCATTACTCTGACTTTTCTTCCTGGTACAATGTGCATGATAAAAGTACGTGGGTGTGTGTTACCTTCATCCCCCATTTTATACTAAAGTCCCATGCCACAAAGACTACTACTAGTCTACAAAGCAGAGTTCCTCATAAGAAAGTGGACAGCAAAGGGGAAATAGAGAATTATTGAAACGGTCACCTTCCAATCTTTATTTTGTAAGTTATTACTTATGTGTACACCTTCCAAGAATGGACGTGGAAATTAATACTAGATTTGTATTCTGAGATACCATGGGAAATAAGACCCAGAATAAAATTCTCATGTCGTTAACATTATTTACTTTTAAAATTGTGCTTATGATGGGGCGCCTTGATAGCTCAGTTGGTTAAGCATTCAACTCTTGATTTCTGCTCAGGTCATGATCTCAGGGTCGTGAGATTGAGCCCCGCATTGAGCTCCGTGCTGGGCTTGGAGCCTGCTTAAGATTCTCTCTCTCTCCCTCTCCCCATTCGTGCTCTCTCTCTCTCTCTCTCTCTCTCTAAATAAATAATAAATAAAAATTGTGCAGATGAGTAAATTCTGTTTGTTTAAATGCATGTGAACTCATGGTCAACGTTAATTCATGCCTTAATTTCCCCATTTCTATGTCATCCCACATTTGGTTCTATAAAAAGTGTCTGTGGTGATAATTCCCACTCTTTGATTACTATAATATGGCAAATGAATGTTAATAGATGGCCTTATTACCATGATGAATCTGTTAGAACATATATTTAAATGGTCTTCATTCCTTTGAAACGAATTTGGGTTCACTTGTGAGAGAGTGAGAGAGTTTTAGGGAGATGTTTTTAACTGTGATTTGTCATAGAAAATCACCATCTGGTGGAAACACGCATGTAAGATGCTAGGATTATTAGGGATACACTTACTCAAAATACTTACTTTTGCAACTTTTATGCCTGCTATATAAGGTGATCAATAACTATTTGAATTATTTTGGTTTGATGCATATATAGACATGCTATTTAATTTTGGGGAAAGACATTTAAAGTATTAAGAAGTGTTTTTGAAGGGTTATACATTGTTGTGATATATTTTCAAGTAGATTCTCAAGTATAGAATGTTTGTTCCTTGATATATGAAATTGTATTTTGGATGTTATGACTCATCAGTGACATCATCCACATCCACTTGTTAGTGAGTTATATTTCTAATTTTTCTTAAATGTAAATAAGATTTTTTGAAAAGTGAATATATCAGCATTTACAAGATCACGAAGTGTTTGGTTCAATAGTTTTTATATAAAAGAGTTGACAGCTGGCGTTGGAATTCAAATACACGCCATCTGAGTTGGAGCAACACTTGCTTGCATGTGGCGTATATGTAACCAGTTCTCTGCTTTCAGACAGACTCTCTCACCAGAGACTCCGGGGTCTGAGGGACCTATTCATAGGGACATGTTACAGTCCTTTTTTCTCTGAGTCAATTTTATGCTCTCGAAAGGGATAGTTTTAGGATTTCTATTCTGTAAGCGGAGTTTGATGTGTGTCTCTTGAGTCCTGTTAATGACCAGTGCTGCTCTTTGGTTTAGACAAAAATCGAGCCCTGCAGGCAGCAGAGCGCTTGCAAGCCAAGCTGCGAGAACGTGGAGACGTAGCCAATGAAGACAAGCTGAACCTTCTCAAGTCAGTCTTGCAGAGCCCGCTCTTCAGTCAGATTCTGAACCTTCAGACTTCCGTACAGCAGCTGAAAGAGCAGGTAGGACACGATTCTCCCAAAGCCGGTGTTCATGGCATGGCATAGATCTTGTGGAGTCTTGCGTTTTTCTGAAAGGCTGATTTTTGTATGTGTTAATGAATAGTTAATGAAGTCATTTAAACCTCCAAATGAGACATTCAGATTCACTGTGACTCCCCCCGCCCAGTTATTTTTGTAATGGTTGTTGCTGTACATTGTAGATGATATGACATTGCGTTGAAAGCTGTGTGGATGCTGAAGTGTGAGTCCCTACAGGATATGGGGATGATAAAAATAAGTTTAGGGTAGATGGCTGTAGGCTTGGTTTACATCCCCGCTAAGGCTCATTGTTCACGTGATCTTGTGCATTCAGATTCAGACATTCAGCATGCTTATAAAATTTCAGATAAGCCTGGATCTGCATGTGCAATCATGTGTGTGAGGAAGGGAAATCACCTCTATTTTGACAGTAAAAGAAATAATTACATTGTCATCAGTTAGAGAAATTGCAATTCTCACTTCTTAAAAGAGTGTAAGTAGCAATTGCTTCCAATGACAGCATCAGATGGTGATAAACATTAGAACTTCTAAATGTAACACTGTTTTTTTTCCTGTAAAAATTAAGAGCATTAAAATTTCCTAGCATTTATATTAAAATTGAAACATTGCAATGACAGAACAAACACTCAAGTTAGATGCTCTTTGAACTAACTTAATTTAATCACATTTCTCAGGTTTTTAAAAAAATGTTTTTAAAATGGTTGTTATCCTTACAAGGCTTGAAGTCAATCTCATTTATGCCTTCAATCTAAGTTAGTTCTCATTCTAATGTTTTTAGCATTAATTTACTCACTATGGATGACTTGCTAACAAATATTCTGCCTTAAAAGGTTAAAAATGAATTTGAAGACCAGTTTCATAATTCAGTGAAAGAAGAGCTCCAATTAAAAAAAAAGTGCCAAATGCAAAAAGAACAAATAGTAGTAATAGAGAAGGAATTTGTTTAACGCACATAACTTCTTAATCTAGATATTTTGGTAGCAAAAAATAAAGAATTTTTAAAAATATTTTTCTCTAGTGAATTTTTACGTAATGATTTTAAAAATTGTGATCGTGAATTAAGAAAAAAGAGTTGTTTTTGTTACATGTAGTTGTGTTTGGGGTTTTTTTTTTTTTTGCAACTTATTGAAAAGATTGGTTTTAGGTACTCCTTTTTAGAATGAATTGACAAGAATTTGGAGAGATCAATGTTCTGAATATAAGTGTAATTATGATGTGGAAGATTATCTGGTTTTTCAGAGAGAGTGGAGAAGTTGAATAGATGAATAAGGGGAGCCCTTATTAGATCATGTGAAAATATGATTAGAATGAAAGGAAAAGTTGAAACAAAAAGTGCTAGTGTGTTAGGAAATACCACTAAAGAGATAACTGGAAATACCCCTTCTAGTCCTGAAAGCAGGGGAGACATAAGTTTACCTTGTTTTACCATTTCCAAATGGAAGTAGGATATGGGCTCTAAAACTTTGGGTCCCATGTGATTCAGCTGAAATCTCCTTGGAAACCCTTGAGCATAATGTTATCAAGCCAGGTAGTCTGTGACCAAGTACAGTATTAGTGATAGATGTTGATATATTTCAAGACTTGGTACATTGTGAGGTTTGGGCATTCTCTAGGCATGTCTCACATGTCTTTGGACTTTTGGCTAGTTGGTCACCTTTTCAGATACTGAAAGGGACCAAGAAAACCAGCTGGCTCACACCCTGTTTATTGCAACTACTTAGTGAGTTTGAGTGACTTGTTTATAATAAGGGCAGAGCCAGAACTGGAACTCGGGTTTCTTGGCTCCCAAGGCAGAGTCTTTCCCCTCTTGTGATTCTGCAGCCTGTCTCTCATCGTCGTCATCGTCTTTTTTTTTCCTGAGGATAGAAACTCGGCCCCTAGAGGTCAGGAGTTCAATTTTGGTGAAAACCATCGATATCTCTCATAGTTTCTGTGACTCTTCACTTTAGTCTTCATTCTTACTGACTCAGTTACCTTTGTTGAACCGTGTTTTTCTTGTATGACTATACTACATTTCAAAACCTTGTATTATTTTCTGTTTTAAAGTTTAAACATAAATATTATAGACTTACCATGTTAGAATTAGATATTCTATGTAGTTTACTACCTGTTAATTTGTTAATATTTATAATTTAATATTTAATTAATGAACCTAGGAGTGAAATTTGTTTTGTGCTTTTAAACTAGTAGCTACACCAATCTGACCAGTGGCTAGCTTTTATTTATATTCTTTTACCTGAGTTGTGTTTTCAGATATGTAATTTTATATGCACAATGGGTACAAGTTAGTGTCTCCATCTTTTTTAGTATTGGTAATACAAATTTGAGTCCTCCAACTTTACCATTACTCTCCTACATTTTAGAAAGTGAAAGGAGTGAATAATTGAAAAGCCTGAGGTAAATGCAGCATATTGGAGAACGTGATCATATTGTTGCATTAATGACAGATGCTGACATGCCATGTTGAATTAAGCTGACTATTTTTCCCCCTCAGATCCTTCTCATTACTTCTATTCAGTAATGCGTAATTTTTCCAATTTGCTTCTTCAGTATTAAGACTGCCCTTAGAAATCAAACTGTTTCCCTTTGGCAGATTACACACTTGACAGGTGTGTAACTGAGAGGGCAAAAAAGCCATGCCCTGAAGGGATGTGCTATTTAAATATTGTCAAAAATATTAACAGGTCTGAGAGCATAATTGATGCCTCTGTTTAACTCTGCCACATTGTGTATTGTTCTAACCGCCAGCTAAAAGGATGTGTGCTATTAAACCTGAATAATCTCTAATAGCTCCAGTTCCTTTCCTATTGCATGATTCCTGTTTAAGTGAAGAGAAGAAAAAAAAAGAACTGTGACTGTGTGTCAATGATCTGTCAGATGCAAATTCTCAAGTAGTGTCCTCACTGTCACCTCGTCATCACAGCTAATAACTGCAGGGCTCAATGCGTATTCATGACAGAAATCCAGCTATTGTGGGGGAAATAAACACGTTAGCAGTTTAATAATAGAAACTTGTCAGCCATGAGGATATTGGATTTGCATATTTATTCTGTGATGTTTCTCCAGTCCAGTAGAGGTGGATACGACTTTCCTGATTAATTAATTGCCTTGTCTTATGAATTGACCAGAGACATGAAATTAAATGTCTTTTTACCTTGAGTTATTTGTAGGAAAACTGTGGATTAAAATTATTATTATTATTTTTTTAAAGATTTTATTTATTTGAGAGAGAGAGAATGAGAGAGAGCACATGAGAGGGGGGAGGGTCAGAGGGAGAAGCAGACTCCCTGCCGAGCAGGGAGCCCGATGCGGGACTTGATCCAGGGACTCCAGGATCATGACCTGAGCCAAAGGCAGTCGCTTAACCAACTGAGCCACCCAGGCGCCCCTGTGAATTAAAATTATTAATTTCAGTAGAAATTTAGGACTAATACTTAGAAATTGACATCGCTGAGATTTTTTCTTTTTTAAAGCTATGGCAACCTAGACCAATTCTAAGATTGAAGAAATAATGTATATAATTCAGTGCTAACGTGGGAAACAAGCCTCAGGACTGAGCATATTCTGGAGGTTTCTCCATGTCTGTGATTTCTGGCCTTTCTGGAGTATGATATTCTATTATTTTGCTGTTGTTCTTGTTGTTTGATATTTCCAGGCTCCTTGTTCATTCACCTTTTTCCCAGAAAAGTGTTAGCTTATATGCTTATTATCCAAATGCATAATGTATACATATATACATGCAAATTTAAGCCAGATTTTTTTCTAAGTTTCTCTTTGGAAATTTTATGACCTCTCTTGAAGTAATTGGAGAGATGTTGACTTAACGTAGAATAAGTTTGGAAATTATTGTTCAGTGTTGATTAGAGTAAGTGGATCCTTCTTTTTTTTATTTTGAAATACAGTGTTCATGGTATAAAATTTTTGTCTTGTATTTCTATGCTTTTAAGTTTTACCTGTTCACATTCCCAAAAGAATTTCAAACAACTTCTGATGGCAAAAACGTATGGACTAATGGGTGATTCAAAGGTAAATCTAAACAAAGACTAAATAAAAATATCAGAGAACTGGATATTCCAAGGACCTTGGGTTACTAAAATTGAGTATTATCATTTAATTTCCATTTCTCAGGAGCAAAGTCAACAATAATTATATAAATATAAATATGTATATAAATATACACATACACACGCACAGAGAGAGAGTGAGAGAGCGCTGGAGGGTTATATATTGCTCAGTGTGAGACATCATTCAGTGAGCCAAATTTTCCTTGGCAATGGGAGGGTTTTCTCTTGGGTGCTTTTTTAGAAGGCTTATGATCATTTATTAATAAAGTCGATAAAAATACTATGAATAAATAGGACAAAGGTTCTCATTACCTAGAGGAGGAAAGAGAACATACATTTGTTTTATGTAACTAAGTAAGTGAGTGGGATAAGAAAGTGAGCAGGATAAGGAATTATTAACTTTGACTACAAGCAAACTTTACATTGAAGGTAACATATAAGATGGGTCTTGAAAAATGAGTAGCGGGGCACCTGAGTGGCTCAGTCATTAAGCGTCTGCCTTTGGCTCAGGTCATGATCCTAGGGTCCTGGGATTGAGCCCTGCATCAGGCTCCCGCTCGGCAGGAAGCCTGCTTCTCCCTCTCCCACTCCCCCTGCTTGTGTTCCCTCTCTCGCTGTATCTCTCTCTGTCAAATAAATAAATCAAAAAAAAAAAAAAAAAAGAAAAGAAAGAAAAATGAGTAGGACTTTTCTGCAGTGAATGGGGAAATTATTTCAGGTAGGGGAAACAATGTTTACAAGGAGAGAGAGAAGTTGTTCTTTGGGTGAAGGTGACTGGGGCATATAGCAGTAAGTGGATACATTTTTGACTGTTGTAACTTAGGGGTGGTAGGGGCCATGCTACTGGCATGTCAGTGAGTAGACACCAGGGATATTGCTAAACATGCTCAGTGCATA